AAATTGATAAATTTTAAAAAAGATGAGATAAAGATTTAAAAAAAAACATTCATTAAAATAATGAAATTCCAAATATTACAAATCTTCACTTCGTTAATATCTTAGGCTATTATTAGCAGAGTTAAAATATAATATATTATATTAAAATGATTTAACAATGATAAATAATCTTTTCCAATTTTTTCTTTAAGCTTTAGATTTATGAGCCTGCTAATTCTATAAATAGATCAAATTTAAAATAAAATTTTACATTAATTTAATATTTATGTTTGAACCAAAGTTAATAGAAAAAGAAAAAGACTTATAACCTATGGTTTCTGTGATTCTAGACAAGAGTTTATCAATCAATCAGAAACTCATTTGTTTTAATATCACTATTCTTCCACAAAATATAAACAAAACCTTATTTTCTATTAAATTTTTTTATTGCTATTGTTTTAGAATTTCAAAGTCCAAAAAATTAATTTAAACTTTTTTTACTGTAATAGCATTTCGAAATCTTTAACAAAATTAAAATATTTCTTTATTTTTCTTCATATGCAGAAGTTCTATACTTTGTTGAAATTAATTATGAGTATTTAAAAATTTTATTTTTTTGATCTCAAAATTATCACCAACTGAAATAGAAATTTTTTTGAGGCTTATTTTCTTTCAATTTTTATTTTTTAATTTCATTATATGAATCATCAAATATTATTTGTTTTTTATAAAATAATGAACTTTGCTTAAACTCTTAAATTTACTCTTATTTAAAAATTGACATTTATCTAAAAAATTATAGTTTTAATAAAATGAGTAAAATTAAAATCTTCCTTAAATGATACTATTATACCATCTTGCAAAGCATTGGAATTAATCCAAGACTTTGATTGCTTAGTACAAAATCTTGAAGTTGATAACTTTTATGGAAGTTATAGTATAATAATTAAATCATTGACTTACAAAAGGCATTTATTAATCTAGATGAAATAGATAATTATTGCTATATGATCTAATAGATTGATATCAGAAATAGCTAAAGACTTTTATTATAAAGAAAAAAGTACAAACCAATTTGCTATTCATTTTATGTGTTGAAGTTTGGATAGAATAACTAAAATCTTTAGAGGGCCATAATTATACTAATGTGTATAATAAAAGCTTTAAGATCTAATAAACTACCTAAAGTGATAAAAAAAGTTTTTCGTTTCTGATTAGGAGATAAATACACATCATCTTCAGCTTGAATCTAATTTCTTCATATTCTCATAGAATTCGTTATAATTGCAAATGAAAAAAAATTATTGCAGAATTTACAAAAGAGAGACTTGAAATAAGTGTTAAAAAAAATGTTGATTATTTAAATAGATTAATAAAATTCCTTTCTTTTAAATAAACCTGAGAAGCAAAGCTATTTTTTAGAATAAAATAAAGCAAACTATAAATCTTTTTGAATGGCTTACCTAATTTTGGGAAACAAAAGTAGGTAAGATACTGAAGGGAAGTATACATTTTTAAATCCAAGACTATTAGACCAAATTCAATTATTTAGAAATTTAAAAAATAATAATGATATATATTATCTTATTAAAAGGACGATAAAACAAGAAAATTTAATATATTATTGAATTCTTTATGTAATTATATTTATGTAATAATGAGAACCTACAATCCCGTTGTCTCCTCATTTGCCTTTATTAAATATCTTATTTTTATGCATATCATTCGGCAATCTAAGAATCTTACTACAAATTCTGGTTTAAGCTTAAAATATTTCCAATTTCTATCTCAAATAACCAAATATTTCTTTAAATTCTTTTATTTAATATAAATTTTCCAGAGATTTAATTATTTTCATTCTCTTTCCTTTCTACATATTCATTCATTCCTTTTTTTTGATTCATAGCCTTTTTATTCAGTCATGGAAATTTGAATTTAATGTAATTTATCTTCATATAAGATTATTTAGTTTACAAAAAATGATAGAGAATTAACACTATTAGAAGTGAATTGATAATTATTAAAAACATAGGGTGTCATTAATAATCTAAATTTTCATTTCTACTAACATTTTTTCTTACTTCTAATGTAAGGAACAGGATATAAATTTCTTTATTCTTAAGAAATAAATACAAATGAAAATTTTAATAGAAAAATTAAATTAGAAATATAATTAATCAGTTTATAACTATATCGTTTTAATATTATTGCTTAATTTATATATCTATGATAAAAGAATGTCTCAATCTCCCTCATACTTCCATATTTTCTGATTATTATTTATTTCATCTGATTAGTAGCAGATAACGAGATATATAGAATTAAATTTTGAATAATAAATACATAAATAAATATTTTTATAAATGAGAGGAGTATGAATAATTAATATTACTTTAAACCAATTGTATTTATAGTTATAATGCTTGATAAGAATATAAATCCTCAGTTATTGCCATTTATTAATTATTTATTTTTTACATACTTAAAATATAAAAATTTTTAAAGCACGCACAAATATGATGGGTTAAAAAGAATGAGGTTATGTGAGGAAGAAGAATTAAATTTATTTACATTAATTAGATCTAATGATTTGATATTATAAGTATTCAAAAAAAGGAAAAATCAAATTTAAATCTTATTATAGATGACACAGATTAAAATGAATTAATTGGGGAATATTTATAATAGCAGATATAAGAATAAGAAATAGATAATTATTCAATCTGAATACATTTCAAATCTTGGACATCTTTAGTTTTGATATACTATCCATTTATATTGTTCAGTTCATAAACATCTAATTATGCTTATACAAATGGATAAAAATAAATTAATTATCATTTATAAAACTATATCTATAACCATGTAATTTACAACTATTTTCTATTTTAAAATCCAAATTTTGCTCTTTTAATGAAAAATCTATTATACACATAATATGATTTAAGTGTGGATTTATTTCTATTAGCAAATCCATTCTTTATTTTGATTCATCATCCAAATTATAATCTATCCATTATTATAACTCCCAGATATAAATTAATTTAATTTCTTCATAAATTTTAAAGTTTAGATATCATTTTAATGTTCACTAAGAAGTTGAGTTTAATTCATCCTTCCTTTATTAAATTCTAATACCTTTATTTATTTTTTACATCCAACAAGTACAGTTGAACAATCCTTATTAAATGACATAGCACCACAAAATTATTCTTATCTTATTGAGTTCTCCTTTATTAGTTCATATGTGATTATTTATCTACTTATGATATTTATCCAGATTTAATTTCTTGACGAATATCACTCCCTGCGTTCAATTAATTATTTATGCTTTATTTTTAAATTCTCTGTACATTTCTATAAAGTTTGTTGAATTTCAAATATTTATTTAAAGTTTAATTTATTCCATTTATTGTAGTTACTTTCAAAATAGTGTGTTAAATATTTATGATCCACTAATTTATTTAACAATTTCTTCAAATTCATTGAAAAATTTTAATTGTTATCTTATTACCATTCCTTCTATATTATATTTAATTAATTATTAGATCTCTCATTTACTTGATTGGTGCTTTTTGTGATTAAATTTGTTATTTTTTATTAAATTTCAGTGAATAATCCATTAAATTCTTTAGTTTTCTATTAGATTCTTTCAATATAGTTGCTACATAATGTTACATATTTTGCGAAAATATGCTTATACATTTAACACAAATTAATTTCCTTGGTGATTTTTATATATCATTAAGATCAACCATTATTATTTTACATTCTTTATGTTATTTGCAAGTTAAATTTATTTACAATTAATTATCCATTTGTTGAAGGGTATATTATTATTTAAATTTAGAAAAAACTTCATTTGAGTAATTCAAAATTCCAGTATTTACTTTAGTGAATATTTCTCCAAACCTTTAAATAAGTGAATCTTTTGAAATAGTTGACAAATTGTTCAATAGAGGATCTTTGATGTCTTAATAATTAATATATTGCTTTTCTACTTCCAAATATTATTAGATAGAAGAGTCAAGATCTTTTATTTGTAAACTCTCAATCTATTTTGAATATTTAATTTATGAATCTAAGATAAGTTAAATTTGTTATTCAAAAAATACTATAAGTTTATCATTAAAGCTGAAATTTGAGTCTTCAATTACCATAACTATTTTTAATATCTAATAGAAGATCAATGTTCTTTTGATTTAGACTTTACTTTTCCTTAATTAATTATGCTTTTAGTTGAATGAGTTCCTTTAGAGCATCTTCATAACTCGTTAAATTGTTTTTTTATTCAGTTAAACATTAGATGCAAAGATTTTTAGCTTGAGGATCTGTTGATGATCTATCCACAATTATGACTCTTTTCCCATGTTTTGTACAATTTTTTCCATTATGAATAATGCTCGTTTTATTAATAAAAAATGGATAAGAATAATAATCATTTAACAAAAATAAGAAAAAAATATTTGGTGTATATAGAAATCAGTATAGATATTTAAATAAAAACCTCTTTTTACAAATAAACATTATGATGTTCTACGATAATATTACTAAATATTAACAATTTATAAGTAATTTTAGGTACGTAATAACATAAAGCACATAATTAAATCTGTGTTATAGAAAGTGATGATAATTGTAAAAATTGTAGATTTAAATTTACTTTTTTTAATAACTAAAAAAATCAAAAGTTTGATAATAATTTGTACTAATTAGAAGTTTAATGTTTATTATTCAAAATTTTTAGAAAAATTTAAATAAACTACTTATTTTTTATAAATTTAATTTTTATTAAAATGGTCAATTTATATATTGAATTTATTATACTTCAAATACTCATTTAACTGCTATATGTAAATGAACCAAAAAATTAAATAATTTTACATCAAATTTTGTCCTTTTAAAATTAATTCGTAACAAAATCTCTTAAAACTATTAAAAATTTTGATTTAGAAAGCGATTCAGCAAGTCTTGCCTAGCAAAAATTTCTTATTTTTAATGCTATTCTTGATTTACAATCTAATTTAGAAAAAAATGCGATGAAAATATTTATCTTTCTAAAATCAGAATTTATAGTTATTAATAAAGCTTTCTAATGATATATTTTAGAAGCTTTATTCAAAATTTTTGACATATCGTGAAATAAATTCAATTTTTCTATGGGTCACCTTATAAATGAAAAAATTATTTGTGCAATCTGTAATAAGAATAATAGTAATAGACTTTAATATAATTTTTAAAGAATTTTTAATTTACTAAATATTAGTATTAATTAATTAGAATGACAAATCTAAAATTGCATAATGTGGATCTTAAACTATAGTGACTATCTACTTTCATAAATAATTATTATCAATTATAGTAACATAATCACTTGTTCCCTCCTTATAAATTTGATCCTTCAATTACTTATAAATTATTAAAATTATGAATTTCTTAAAATTAAAAAATTAGAGAGATTCAGATCTCTTTATTATTATAAAACTTATCAGAAATTTATTTAATAAAAATAACATTTTATAACAAATAAGATAGAATATCTCATCACCAATCATTGATTCCAATATCAATTTAGTCTAGGTATATTTTTAGAATCAATCTATATATTCTTATTATGATTACAGTTCATTAAATAATCTATAGTTATTAATATTTATTAATTCGCCAGTTTGTTGATTTTCATACTTTTTTACATAAATAAACTTACATTTATTACATTCAGTTTAAATGAACCTATGTAATTGATAATTATTTGTAAGATTATAAAAAATTATGTTTTATCTTCTATTAAAGCAGAAATTAATAAGTAAAAATAAATCAAAATTAAAATTTAAAGAAATGTGAAAACTTAAAAAAATAGAACTTAAGGTAAAGTAAGAAAATATAGTATTTGCTAGTATTGATTTCGTTACATGACACAGCTCCTAGAAAAACTCCCTCTTTCTTTAATTACATGATTATTCAGAATGTTTGATTTAGATTAATTTATAATTCAGAGTATTCTAATCTTGTGATTATTTTCTTAATTTTGTATTGGGAAAAGTATTTAAAATAAACATGAATTAAGTAAAAGTTGATTATCAACACATAAAATAAAGTTGAACCAATAGTTGAAATTAACATTAAATATGAAATAATAGTAAACTTAATTTATGAGCAGGTATAATATTTCCTTTTAATTTTATACTGTTTAAGTTAGATTAAATTAATTATGTTGTTTCTCCGAAAATAAAATAGTTCCATCTTCGCTAGCAGATGCAATAAGATCTTTTTTAGTATTTATTATTATATGATTAATCCAATTTTTATGTCCATTAAGCTTATATTAAATTTATCATAAATTATCCTTAATTTACCATATAATTATATAGTATTATCACTGCTTCCAGATATAAAGTAATTTGAATTCTTCATAAAATATCCTGTGGCAACATCATATTTATGGCCTCTTAGTGTTTATATTAATTAAATTTATCCATCTTTGAATTGATAAACATCAATATCATTATCATTGGCAATAATCATAATTGATGACTCTTATTAAATGCATTAGCAAAACACTAATTATGTTAAATTGAATTAATCAATTTATAATTACATCTTTTATCTGATCCATTTGTAATAAGATCTTTCTCTTTCTTTATCTAATTCTCTTACTTTTTTTCTAGATATTTCCCTTGCTCTTCCCTATTATCTATCTCTTGATTAATTTTATTTATATTTATTTCTTATTCTCTCTCTGATTAACTTAATCGTTCAAATGATCTATTGGAACAAAGAACTTTCTTTATCTCTTTATTAATCTAAATATCTATTTCTAGTTATGGTTATTTTTAGAAATGAACACACATAAAAGACACTAAACTCATAATGATTGCCAAAAATAATAGGAATAGCCACTTTTTATATTTTATTGGCTTTTTTAACTTAGATTAACAAATATAACCTTATTCTTACAAATTTTAATTTCTGATTTAATCTAATTAGACAAAATCACTTAACATTATCTATGATTTTAAATTAATAATTTATTTTCTGTGTATATAGTCTAATTACCATCATTTATCATTAAATTATTAATCTATGTACTATGTTTTTCATCAATATAATTTTGTTTTAAGTTTTTTAATTTGACTTCCAAAATAAATTTCACTTTTTATTTGAAGATAATTCATAAATTTACTAAAAAAGTATTTTCATAACTAAAATTATTATCCAATCACTAATTTTGTTTGTTAAATAACATAAAGCCAATATTGAAAATAATTATTTATGAAATAATAGAAATTATCGTTAATTTATACCATAGATTAAGATAAATAATCCATTATCTATCTTTTTTCTTTAATTTTAGGAAAAAATATCTAGGTGCTGAAAATTAATTATTTTTGGATTTTAAGTTAAAAATAATCAAATTTTAATGTTTGTTATTGTTAGAGTTCTAAATGTATATGAGAATTAATAGAACTACCAAATAAAATTATAACTCTTAGTATTGAATCACTTGCTAAATTTGCTTCATCTAAAAGTATCCAATACTTTAAGATTTTCAACTACACCAATAAAACCAAAAATTTAAGTAAAGGAACTTAAATTCATAATAATTAATGTTTATTCACTTATATAAGCATGATATTATCTTATGGAAGTTTTACCGAAGCAGCATCACTTTCGTCGAAAATTGAATTATATCCATTAAGTGCAGCTTCTCATTAAGATAAATGTCTTGACACACTTTGAGTTTTAGCATACGTGTCCATCTTTGAAATTAATTCTTGGATTTTTTTCTTATTATCCACTAAATAAACAATAAATATATTTAAAGCTTTGGTATAAAATGGAAGGAGGTGATGAAACTCGATTAAGAATGAAATTATAATAAAAATTTGATTATATGGAACATATTAAATAATAAATATATTCTTAACTATTTTAAAGAATTTCATTTTATACTTTTTAAATTTATTGGTATTTAATAATATAATACATTACAGAAAAATTAGTGATTAAATTATAAAATTTTTGATAAAGTACCCAGCTAGATGTGGAGATCTTTTAATTAATAATAGAAAAGAAGTAAAATTAAATTGATTCAAAATTTCGATTTGAAGGTTATTTAATAGTAGAGAAATGGAAATCTTGAAATTTAATATTCAATAAGATCCAGATAATCAACAAGAGACACTTAAAATTTCTAAATATTTTAAAGGAAGAGCATTTACAAAAGTAGATTTACAATTTACACAATAATTGTGGATTTTTCAATTTATTTTTTCATCATAAAATATTTTTAATGTTTAGATGAAATTATTCTTGATCTGAAAAAACAGAAATATTTTTTTTGTGCGCAAATCTTAATTAGGATAAGACATTTAATCTTGTATATTGGCCATCTTACATAAATATTACAATTTTAAAGATTTAATCAAAACAAAATGGCAGGGAATTCATTTGAGAAGCTTAATAATTGTTTAGGACATATTGTCATTTATCCTCTTAAACTTGTAGCATCTTCTTTAATTCTTTTTTAATTTCCATCTTATATACTAGTATATTTATTATTTTTGAAACTTTATTTTAATTCAATTTACTTATATGGATATTTAAGGAATATCCTATTTTTCTTTTAAAAATTGTTAGATAAAAATCTTATTATTAAAAGAGTAAAATTTTTTTATGAAAATTCATCAATAAAATCTAATTCACACATCAGCTTTGATTCTGGAATTTAAAATTATGATATATGCTAAAATTATTTTTCATAATCTAAGATGTCCTTAATATCAAAACTTCCTATAAAAATTAATGTTATTACGGATCTTAAGGTTGTTCTGTTTAAATTAATTTTTCAGCAATTGCCATTTTTATATTGTTATTATACAAAATTTATCTACTAGATCATTTTCAAGTTTTTTTAGTATATTGATATTTAAAGTAACTAATTAGAATATATTTATTTAAGGAACTTATATATAAAATCAAAAGAATTAATAAAGTAAATTTTCAAAGATTATGTATTTGAATGCACATTTTCCTAATTTACTTCAATTACAATATAATTCAAAAAGTCCCAAAATATTTTATATCGTAACATTAAAACAAAAAATACCTTTTTTGATAGATAATTTAAAATCAAAGTAATAGAAATTTAATATAAAAAATAGATAATGTAAATCATATGAATTATCTAAATAGAAAATGGCTTTTTAATCCATGCTCTCTGAAACCAAAACTATGCTGAAGAAAATTTGGGATAATTTATCAGAATCAATCAATTAAATATAAGATTGGATTGAAAAGTAAATGGTTAAGGAGAATACATATTTGATAGAGATTAATAATGCAAAAAATTGGTTGGATAAAGTATTTAAATAAAGCTTTTATCAAAAAGTTGGATGAAGTAAAAAGTTGAATTCTTATTATAGGACTCAATCTAATTAAAAAGAAAGTGAGTCAAAATTGAAGTATTTGAAAATCCAAGAATTGATTAAATTGGAGTCATGGTGATGAACTCTTAACAGTATGCTTCTCTCCTGAAAGTACTACATTAGCATCTTGTAGTGTAGATAATTCAATACGTTTATGGGATGTTAAGACAGGGTAATAAATAACCAAATTGGATGGTCATACTCATTTTGTCTACTCACTATGCTTTTCCCTGATGGTACAACTTTGGCATCTGGGAGTAGAGATAACTCTATCCGGCTATGGGGTATTAAGATGGAAAAATGAGTTTATTATTCACATATAAAGGCATTTTAAATTTAATTATATTTTGAATATTAAATTGATATGTTATATTCTATAATACAAAGCCTTTTTAAGTTTAAATTACTATGAATTATGACTAAATATGAACAGACTGAGCTCATTGAAAATAAATTTAAGTATCAGTATTTAACATTTAGTTTTTTTTTTTTCAAAATCATTCAAAACCATAAGTAAATAGTTCAATGTGAATAATATGAACTATTGTAAATAGAAAAAATTTCTATACATAAAAGTAATTATCAAAAATTATTATTAATTTTTAATATCCATCATCGTTTTTTGAATTAAATCATTAATCGTTTTGATAAGTCATAATAGGTCAACAGATTAAGTGATGAATCAACTACGTATTTTTCTTGCACTTTTAAAGAATTTTTTCTTTGTTTCTATTGATATTACAATTAAAACAAGTGAATCATTTATATAAAAATATAAAAACCTTTTCTAACTGTTGTACAGACTTTTAAAAATAAGGAATCCTTTAAAGATGTTAAGGGATATTTCATAGTTCTAATTATTTGTAGATTTTAATTTTATTGATTAATTATAACTATGAAAGCTAGATAAATTTATTCTATAATTCAAGATAGTTCTTTGAAAAAAATAGAAATGAACTGTTATGCCTTCATTTAAATTCCAAATTTAAGAAAAATTCATCAATAAATTCATGTCAAAAACTTTTCTTGATATTAGATTTTAGACATTTTTCGTTTCATATTCGTTCTTTTTCATTTAAAATACTTATTTGAAGATTTACAATGGATAATATCAAGTTTAAATTAAAATACAAATTAAAAATTTTTCTCAAATATATAGAAATTGAATAAATAGCTCTTTTTTAGCAAATATATATAATTGCTATTAGGACTTTTAATTATATTGGCTTTGAACTTCATTCAGTTAATTTCAAAAGATATTAATCAAAATTTAGAGTGAGGTTTATCTGCTATCCCAAGCTCTTTCACTTTAAAACTTGATATACTCCGTCAAAAGATGAAATTTAAATTAGTTCAAACCTATTAGATGGAATTCTGAGTTTTATTTCGAGCGAAAATAAAATTTTATTCTGCAAAGAATTTCTATTTTGGCTTCATTCTTCAATAAGGTTTTCAAGATAAATTAATTCATGTAGTTTCCCTTAATATGAAATAAAATAGCTTTAGTATTTTAAGACACTATGGATAGGGAAATTATTATAGGACGTTAGATTAATTAAACACTTTATTTGAGTAAATTATTGGGAGAGGATGAAAATTTAATTTATATTTAAAAGTGTATATAATTAATTTGAATAAATTTAACTAAATTTGTGATATTTACATTTAGTTTGCAAAATAAATCTGTTATAAAAAATTAAAAAATTAAAAATTAAAATTGAAATGAGAAAGCAAAGAATAAAATATTTTTTTATTCATAGAATCAAAATTACTTGATAATCAACTTATTAAAATACCTTTCTGTTTAATATTTATTTCACATAGAGCTTTATAATAATATATACTATTTTACCTTTTATTTTTATTGATACCTCATGCTTTGAATCTAATAACAAAGCTTATTCAGCAAAAGTAAGTGCTTCTTTATAATTGCCAAGCGATCTTAAAGAACCTGCTAATACATCGGTGAATAACAAATCTTACCCTTAATACATAATGAATCAATATGTTTTGAATCTATTAACAATGCTTTATCAGCCCAAGTAATTGCATCATTATAATGGCGAAGATTAAGTAAGGATTTAGCTAATAAATTGATCTATAATATATTTTACCTTTTAAATAAAAGGATTTAACATGATTTGAATCTAATAATAACAATGCTTTATCAATGCAAATAATTGCATCATTATATTTGTTAAGTTCTATTAAAGAGGTAGCTAATATCTTGGTATTTAATTGATTTTACCCTTAAGACATATTGAATCAAAATTTTTTGAATATATAAACAAAGCTATATCAGCTATATGTTAGATTATCAATATTTTACCTTCTAAGTCTTAAGCTTAACCTTTTTATTATTCAATTTAGTCACAATAAATTAATTCATTTAGTTCAAACTATGTACTAATTTTATTTAATTAAATGAATGTTTCTTTTGAACAATTCCCGACATCTAGTAATATTTTTCCTGCGGTTTCATTATACTTTAGCATCTAATCCAATGCTTAATTTAATTATTTTGCATCAAATCTTTAGATTTAATCTTCTGATAATTAATATTTTTATTTTAATCCTTAACTTAAAATTGAAAATGATAAATTAATTTTTTCAATGCATGAAGATAATTGCTTAATTAATTCATCACTTTTTTATCTGATTTGTTTTATAAATTAAAGTAATTTTATCAAATCGTATTGTTCATTTGGATGAACTGAATGATATCCTAATCTTAAACATTCAAGACAATAAATTCTATTTGCTTTACAATTTTCATTAAAACAAGCCAACTACACAAAACTATCATGTTCTTTATTTGAACACTTTATTTACAAATCTATTATTTTATTCATTATTTTTATCAATATAATTCTTATTAGATTTATATATATAAATTGTATAAATCTCGAAAATTGAATTTATCTATCATTTTTCACTTCAATCTCTTGAAGTTATATTATGATTAACTTATAACTTTATGTTTGATGATAGGCTATTTGATTGTTAGTAATTATTCATTAAAATCTAATAAAGAAATTCTTTGTACATTTTAAAAATAGAAATTAGATCAAAACCAAAAAATTATAATGGATCTTATTTATAACTTAGGAATCTTTTATTGTTAATTTTTAGTTTTACGTGCTTTATATTATACAGAGATAATTCATTCAATAAGAATAAAACTAAATAAAAATTAATCAAAGGAACATCTCTTTTAATTAAATCCTTGTGATCAGCATGAATTATTTTTCTATCAGTCTATAATTTAAATGGAATAAAGTATAATTATACTAATATTTTATAGAGTACAATTTAATAAACAGTTTTATGTATTTTTTTATTAAAGAAATTTATTAATCAAATATTTTATCAAATATATAGAAATTAGAAAGAAGAATAATCACTAATATTGATAAAAAAGTAATAAATAATAGAAAGAATTTTGAAGATTTTTTAAATAATCTTAACAACAACAAAGCATGATAGATTATCCTACAAATACTGGAATTCATGGATATTAAAGATTCTTTGGAAATAAAATATATAAAATATACCTTATTGGAAAGTAATAAGAGAAGCAAAACTGATTTGAAGAAAGAAACGATTATCAGACGTCCTATAATTCAATATTAGCTTTGAATTAATTTAGAGCTGTAACTTTAAACATCCTTATATCTTAGTATATTTTAATTAGGAATACATTTTATCCGAATATAGATAAAATGTTCTCAACTCCATTTATTTTTTTGAATTAATTAATTGATTAATTTTTTCTAATACTTTTCATTAATTATAAAGATTTTTCCAAATTCAAATATTATTATTATTATAGAAATTTAAGAGGACAAGTCTTATAAAAGAATTCTTCCTAAAACTTAAATATTTAAACATAAAATATAGAGTTAGATTGCTATTTGCATAATATGATCAGGAAAAGTTAAAAGAAATAATTTATTAAATAATCTTATCATATCTTCTAAATTCCTATCTTTTTTCCTTCATTTCTCTGCACAAAATCATACTTTTGATTTTCATTTGGATTAAAACAAATTTTAAAAAAGATTCTAACTTAAAAAGTATAATTTAAATAATATGAATAAAAAATAAAAATATTTTAGGAAGTAAAAGAGAAGCAAGAAATTTAAATACAAATATTGGTCAAAATACAATATATCATAATTTAAAAAGCAAATAACATCAAATTTATCTGAATTATTGAATCTTGGACTGAATATTTAAAACCCTTTTAGAAATGCAAAATATAAAAAAAATTAAGAAATATTTCTAAAATCGAAAATACTGTTTTATAGATAAAAGTCTTTAAATTAACTTAATTAAATTATAAATACATTCATTTTTATCTAAATCAAAATAAGTTAAAGAATCTTAAACATTATATCCAAAAGATTAAATATCTGTAAGTTCTTTTTCTTAACAAGAGTTATTATATCCAATAAACATTTTCAAATTAGGAATATAATCATTTTTAGATTCATACAAGGATATTCATATTTCATTTATATTAATCTACACCTATGAATAATTGAATCAAAATAAATACACTACTAACTACTAATTGTCTTTTGATTTACAATTCAGTTTGTTATGAACTGTTTTTGAACATTATTTAAATAAAAATTGCTGAATTTCATAGATAAACCATAAATTTATATACTATATCTAAATTATTTAAGATAATTAATCTCTTTTTTGAATGAATTATTTGCTTCAGCAATAAAATCTGGAATAATTGATAAATTCTATAAAAGATTTCTATGAATTATTAAATAGTTCTCAATAAAAGAGCAGGCTGAAGTAGCATTTTATTTCATTCAAACCTTATTTATTTATTAACGTAATTTATTTAAATAATTTATAAAATCTCAAATATTTTTCTTAAATTGCAGCAAATAATCAAAATAACGATTCATAATCTAGACTTTATAAATTATTATTTTTTTTAGTGCTTTAACTTATGGCAAACTTTATTGATGATATGTACAGATAGTTAGTTAAAAATCCGGACTGGCTTTTGTAGAGATAGGTTGGAGACTGGATAGGTAGAGAGTAGGTGTGAATTAGGAGCCTCTTATTCCTTAATCTCTGGGTGTAAATAAGCTAAAAGATTCAAACGACCTCTCGCATAGTTGATATAATAATATAAGATCATTTGATGTATTTTTATATTTCTTAGTTTTTTAGGTTTTCTCATAGACAAATTGTTATTTTAAGTCATGTTTTTCTTTCTTAGCGTGTTCAATTTAATTTATTGCATACTAATTATTTACGTTTATTGATTTT